ACAAAATCAGACGAAAGAAAAAAGAAAACAAATGTGTGAGTGTGTGTGTGGGTGCGTGCGCGTGCTCCGCCTAACAAAGTCATATGACTTTTGAGAGAAAAAGAAAGAGAGAGAGAGAGAGAGTGAGAGAGAAACATTAAAAATTACTCTCATCTTAATACGGTTGTGGTGCATCTATTTCGGGACACGATTTCGTTTGTGCGGATTGAAACGTCGTGGCAGAAATAATTCAATCGTTTCGTACTTAACCTTATTAAAAAAAATTTATTCGCAGGGCCAAGGATAAATTTTATTATCATCATCATCATTATCGTCGTCGTCGGTTTTTTTTTAATTAATTGTACGGATTTTAATTAATTAATTTTCATAATAATTTATTGTTGTTTTACAACTGATTCAATTTACGATATTTATTAACGATAAGTTATGTGCGTGCGTGCGTGCGTGAGTGCGTACGTACGAGATTGTTTATAGTAATGATTTAGAAAAAAAAAACGCGAGAAAATAATTCTAATAACGTAAAAGATGACAGAAAAGGTCGCTGACCTTTTAATGTTACAAAAAAAAAACAATTTTCTTTTTTTCTAAATTGTCGTTCCTTTTTTTTTTTTTTTTTATATCAAATGACGAATGAAACGTATCGGAAAACTTTCTTGGAATTACATTTGATGATGATGATAATAATAATAATAATGATGCGACGAAGGTTTTTCTTTGTTTTCTCTTTACTTACAGTTATTATGTTTTGCTGTTTTGGAAATATTTTTTTATATTTTTTTTGCGCACTTATTTACGTAAACAAATTGTAAAATAGTTTAAGGAAAGGAGAGAATGGGGAGCAAGAGGAAGGGGGAAGGAAGGAGAGAGGGTTCGTGCCGTAAATGTGATGATTTTAGAGATTCGGGTTAAACTCATAAATTTTTCTAAACGAAATACTTAAAAGCAAGAAAACACGCACTCGAACGTCTGGTAATAGGAAAATTTTTTCTTCCCCCCTCCCTCCCTCCCCTTTTCTTTACGTCCCGTTAGAAATAATAATAATGATAATAATAATAATTATTATTATCGTTATTTATTTGTTTTAAATGACGCGTGAAAAAATTTTCCGATTTATTTTCGGTTTTTTCCACGTCGTCGAAAAACAGAAAAAAAAAAAAATTTGGAAAAGGAGAGAAGCGTTCGTTCGTTTGTTCCTTCGCGAACGCATATTATGCGTATAAATACACGCACTATAGACGTTGTGAATTTTTTTTTCTATTTTATTTCTTCTGGAGAGAGAAAAAAAGAAAAAAAAAGAAAAAAAGATGAAAAAAAAAGGAAAAAAACTTTTAACGCCTGCCTGTCTGTCTGTCGGATCGAGTTTCATATTGATTTTTTCTTTTTTTTTTTTTTTTTTCTTTAAACTTGGTCCAATTTTTCATTCGCGATAATAATAATATTATTATTATTATTATTACTTTTCTATTTTTATTTAAAAAAAAAAAAAAATCATCACGACGACGGCGAACGTTTTTAAAAAAAAAAAAAAGTAATAAATAAATAAATAAATGTAATAACTTACGAAATATCGTTAAAGTCCTATTTTATTATCATTATTATCATCTTTATTATTATTATTATCCATGTGTGATATCCTTATTACGTTTAAATTCATGTTAGAATGAACGGCATCAATAAATTATTTAATTTATTCAGTTTGTTTGTCTGTTCGTTTGTTTTTTATTTTATTCATTACTTAAGTATTAGTACAAACACCGCCACCATCACCACCACCACCGTCACCACCGAAAAGTACGCACAAATTTATAGATTTACTCGTTTTTTTTTTGTTTTTTCGCGCCAAATTCGAAATTCTCACGGTTTCGGTTGAAAACGATTGTTCGAATGTCGAAACAAACGAATCGACCGTTTGTTTTGTTTTTGACTCGCGTTTTAAAATCGGTTAAAAATTAATATTCGCTATTTGGTTGGTTTTTGTTGTTGTTGTTGTTGTTTTTTCTTCTTCTTTTTTATCTTTTCTAATCATGTTTGTTTCCAATCGTGTTATTTTGGTGTTACGTTGATAGAAAGCACGCAAAAAAAAAAATAATAAGAAAAGAAGAAGAAGAAAAATCGAAAACCAAAGTTAAAAATATTCATCAAAATTATTTGCCGTCCATTATTTAACTTATGATGACCGTTTGACGTCATTTGGCATCTTTACATGCCTCACATGACCGAGGATCATGTTCTTGTTTCTATTTTAAAAAATGGATTGAAAAAAATTTTTTTTTTTTTATATGTTTCCCACTCTCTCTCTCTCTCACTCTCTCTCTCTTTTTTGTTCATCAGCTGTTCAAAAAAAATCGTAGAAATTTTCTAGAAAAAAAAAAAAAAAAAAAAAAAAAAAAACGTTTCTCCCTTTTTTAGCGCACATTGAACTCTCCTCTTCGTGTGTTTAATGACACGACGTTTTTTTTTTTTTTTTTTGATTTGGTTCGTAAAACATTTTTGGGTTGTTGTTGTTGTTGTCGTCATAAGCTGTTGTTTTAATCGAAAAAATGTAATAAAAATTTTTTATAATAATAACTAACGTGTTTTCTACGTCGGCCATTTTTTCTTTTTTTTCGCGCACTTAAAAATGAATTATAGGAAAGAAAAAAAGTTACAAACATTTTTTTTTTTCGTTTGTTTGTTTGTTTCTTCTTACAATTTTTTTTTTAATTTCGCGACGATCAAAGAAATAATAATGTATTACACTCTTGAAAGCATTAAATTTTATCGTTTTCTTTGTACTTCATACTTCCTCTTCCTTTTTTTTTTCTAGACTGTTTCCGTTTCCCTCAGGATAAAATAGAATTTGCCACGTAGTTTGTTTTTTTTTTTTTCTTTTTTCCCCCTCGAGTAAACAAAAAGAAAAATGTAAAATATTTTTTACGATATGTATTATTATTATTATTAGGTTGTTTTTATGTAAAAATAAAATTATCTATCTCGTTTGTTTTCGTACTTGAAATAATAATAATTCACACGACAGCAAAAAAAAAAACGTTTTTTACCGCCAGGAAAATTCTCTTTCTCTCTCACAAAAAAAAAAAAAAATTGAATAACAGGAAACAAACGAACGTGAGAACGAATCGACGTGTTCGATGGTTGTTTTTTGAATTATTTAAATTTTTTTTAAAATGTCGACGACGATTTACTCCTCCTCGTTATGTATTCCGCCGATACCGCCAACGCCGCCGCCGCCGCGTTTTTTCTCATTTTCCCGAAATGAAATTTATTTACTAACGAAACGAATATAATACTAATTGTCAAATCCCAAAATTATTTATTTATTACGATTTCGATAACCTGGCAGTAGAATTTCGATTTGATGAGAATGTGTGTCGTCTGCTTTACCGGAAGTAGTAAAAGAAAAATGCGTGGTCGTTTCAAATTTTTTCTTCATCTCAACCGAAATAAAGTAAAAAAAAAAAACTCAATAATTATGTAAAATAAAAAAAATAATAAAAAAAAAGGAATAAAGGAAAAAAGGAAAGAAAAAAAAGGGAAAAAGGAGGAGAAAAAAAAAGGAGACACGACCTGGCCGAATATGAATTTTTTTTTTTTTTTTTGTATACATAAAAAGGAATTCAAAAGAGAGAGAAAATGTAAAAGAAAATGAGACCCTCAAGGGTTACCGCATAAATTTCAAAAATGTTTTTCATCTCCACAAAAGACGAAAATGGTTTTTCATATCGGAAAATTTTTTTTTTTTTTTTACTCATACATATAAAATAAAAAAAATTTCCCGAAAGTTTTTTTTATGGATTTCAAAAAAATAAATAAAATTTTTAAAAAAATGTGTGTGTCCCGCTTTCCGGATTTTTCCGGTAGAAAATCATTTTGTACACAGTCAGACGCGTTTAATAATTTTCGCTATATTCGGTTTCGTGTCGGTTTCGACAAAGGAAAAAGAACACGAGGTTAAGAAGGAAAATAAAATGGTAGTAAAGGGGGAGACGTGGTAGTAGACGAAAAGTAAATAAATAACCTTAAACGAGTTTTAAAATTAAAAATAAAACTTTGAGCTTATTAAACGTTTACCTATAATCGCGTTATTCCCAAAAAAAAATTTTAATTTAAAAAAGAAAAACTGTTAAAAATTATAAAATGCAATTACGAGCTTATTATAAACATATGTCCAAAACGGTTTTCTTTTTTTGCCAATTTCTTTTTTCCCGAGCCGAACGAGAATTAAGAAAAAAAAATAAAAATGGCGGAAAGTTTTTTAACACAAAAAAAGAAAATTTTAAAAGTCGGTTTCGATTTCTTTCCTTTTTTATTTTTAAAAGGAAAAAAAAATCTGAAATAGAAAAAACCTTTTTTTCCTTTTAGTAAAAGGAAAAAGAAGGAAAAACAATAAAAAGGATTTTCGAAATGAAATCTTTTGCCACGTTAGGAAAAAAAAAAAACGAATGTTTTTTTCGTACATTTTTCTTTTCTTAATTGATGCGTATAAATTAAATCGAACGCGCGCGAACGCAAGAAAAAAAACGAACGGAATTGTTAGTGAGTGAGAGAGATAGAAAGAGAGAGAGAGAAACTATTATAAGCATTTAATCTTTGCCCTAATAAAATTTGATTTTTAACGTTTTATATTAAACATTTTTGACCTTTTCAAAAAAAAAAAAAAAAAAAAACCGAAACGTTCGCTGTTCGCGTGACCGAATAAACGACGGGCGGGGGCGGGGTGGGGGTAAGGGGAGGGGAAAGAAAAATCATTAAACGACACGTTCGCTTGCAAAAAGATTTAATTCCCTCCTCCTTCTTCCCTCCTCCTACTTCTTTCTTTCTTCCCTCCCTCCCACTCTTCGAATTCAAAACGTTTTTTTTTTAAATTCCAAGAAGGAAAATTATTTTATTATTATTATTAATAAATATTCTATTTCCACGTCTCGAAAACATTTTTTTTCTTTCTTGTAAATGAAAAACGGAAAATAGTTAATCCGTCGTCGTTCATTATTCAGCTTAATTAAATGTTGTATTCGTTAAATTTCGTAGGCGTGATACGACTTATAAAAAGGCATAAAATAAATGATGCTCTTCGTTTATTACGGTTAATTTGGTTAATCGTTTTTCTCTCTCTCTCTTTCCCTCTCCATCAGGTTATCATCATCATCATCTTCGTTTTTTTTTTTCGTCACGTTTGTCTTTTTTCTCTTTTTCCCTTTCCATCCCTTTCGAAACACTTATTATATTTTCCACCCTTTCGTTTTTTATTATTTTATTTCTCTCACTTTTTAATTTTTTTCTTTTCTTTTTTTTCTTCGAAGCTTTGTTTTCTCTCTCTTTCTTTCTCTCTCCCACTCTATCGACGGAACGAAACGAGAAAAAAATATATATATATTTATCCAGGAAACGTAAAAATGAGAATATTACGCCATTAGTTAATTTAACCGATATTGCTTTACTCGAAAGAAAAAAAAAATGAAAAAAAAAAGATTTCGAATTGCTGGAGGTAAAAATTAAAAAATAATAATAATAATGATAATGATGATAATAATAATAATAAGGCGAGTTCGAGTCGTGGTAAAAGAGGAAAGGAAAGGAAAAGAAAGGAAAGGGAAAAAAATGAAAAGGAAATAACAAAAAAAAAAAAAATTAGTTTCAACGTTAAAAAAAAAGAAAAAAAAAAGAGAAAGAGAGTGAGAGAGAAAGAGAAGGAAAAAAAGAGAGAGAGTATATGGAAAATGAAAAAATTCCAGGGATTTTGAATAATGTAAAATGTCATTTGTAAATTTATTTACAACTAACATTAACTTTTTTTTTTCTTTTTTTTTTTTTTTTCAACTTCGACGGGAGGAGTGGAGAGAAGAGGGGGTGTAGGAGGGGGATGAAAAATTCAAATTGTATTTCTAATTCTCCAGTGAACATTTTTTTTCTCTCCTTCCCCCTCCCCCTCCCTCTCTTTTTCATTCTCTCACTCTGTTTTGTTTTTAATACAATAAATATGAAATATTGTCGTATTGAAAATATTTATTGATTAAATTGGAATTAAAACAAAAAAAAAATGAGCGAGTGAGTGAGAGAGAAAAGGGAGACAGAAAGAAAGAGAGAGAGAGAGAGAGAGAGAGAATGGGAACAAGGAAAAAAATATTTTAAATGTTTTGATAATAAAACAAAACAAAAAAACAACAACAACAAAAAAAATGATAAAACAGTAATAAATATCAATTTATATAAGTGAAATTCTGGAAAATTTTATTATTATCATTATCATTATCATTATCATTATCATTATTATTATTATCATTATCATTATTAATGTGTATCGATGTCATTTTTTTTCATATATAAATTTGTCAAAATAATCTATTTGATGAAAAAAGTAAAATAAAAATAAAAATTTTTTTCTCGATTTTTTTTAAAAATGAAATATTCGTGAAAACGTCGTCGAGAGAGAGAGAAAAAGAGAGAGAAAGAGAGAGAGAGATAGAGAGATAGAAAAATGGCGCTGTTGAAAGTTTTTTTTTTTTTTTCATTGTGTTATTAAAAAAAAAAAACAAAAAAAAAATTCATTCGCTTTTGAGAATAAAAAAAAAAAAAAAAGAATAGAGAAATCCGCTCGGGGGTTTTTTTTCTCCTCTCTCTCTCTCTCTCTCTCTTTCTCTCTTTTTTTTTTAATCAGAATTGAATTTTCCAAAGCATTGACTTGAAAAATTTTCATTATTCAAAGAAGAAGAAAAAAAAAGAGAAAAAGAGAAATAGAAAAAAAAAAAAAGATGGAAAAGAGTCGTAGTCTTAGTCGCTGTAGTCCCGTCGTCGGAAATAAAGGATGGGAGGTGGGAGGGTGAGGGGTAAAGGAGAAAAGGATGGGAAAGGGTAGTTAGAAATGAATGAAAGGAAAACATGTGAAGAAATTATTTACACTTTGTTCGTTCACTAGAATTCAATTAATAATAATAATAATAATAATAATAATAATAATAATAATAATAATAATAATAATGATAATAATAATAATAATAATAATAATAATTTGTCATCGCGTAAAATTTTAAAGATGGAGTTATTGTCGTGACATTTTTTTTCTTTTTTTCTTTTCAAAAACAAATAAAAAATAAAAGCTTTTAATAAAACGTTAAAAACAAAACAAAACAAAAACAAAAACAAAAATTTTCCAGCTGATAAGAACACTCGGCTGATAAAAACAAAAAAAATTTTTTTTACTATTTGGAAAAGGGATTGATTGTAAATGTTTACATACCGACTGGAAACTTCGATTTTTTCTTATACACAGATAAAATTAAATCGATAATTAGAATTTCGGAAATCGAATCGAATCGAATTCGAAATCAAAAACTGGAGAAAAAAAAGAAAAAAAAAAATTTTCACGTTTCGATATATAAAACGTAAATAATTTTATTCGTAATATCAAAAGGAAAATGAAAACTTATCCAAAAAGAAAAAAAAATTTTCCTCCTCCTCCTCTTTCTTCTTTTCCTATTCCTCGTATTATTCCTGGAGAAAAATGAAAAAGGAGAGAGAAAAAAGGAAGGGGGGGGAGGAGGAAAAAGCAAATTACAAAACATTTTTTTTTTTTTCATTCTTTTACTTTTCTAGAAATGTTTATCGAGAAGTTTTCAATTCGTAAAAAACGGAGAGAAAAAAAAATAAAAAAAGAGTGAGAGAGAGAGAGAGAAGGGTAGAGGAAATACGGGAAAATGATAATAAAAACAAAAAAAATAAAAATATTATCATCATCATCATTATTATTTAGTTTTTTTCTCCAGGTTTTTTCCACTCAAAAATTATTTTAAAAATTTCGTAATAATTTTCTTATGTTTACGCGATTGAATCACGTGATATTTTTGTAGAAAAAGAAAAGAAAAGGGAAAAAAAATATCGTCATCTCTTTTGTCGTCGTCTGCTAATAGTTTAAAGTGTGTTGTCAACAATCACAAGTGATATTAACAATAATAACAACAACAACAACAACAGTAATAGAAAATGAAAAAAAAAAATTTCAAACTTTAACGTTTTTAATCGAACGAATCGTTTCAAAACAATTATTATTATTATTATTATTATTATTATTATTATTATGTATGTCGATTAAATAAAAACTTCACGACCGTTGTTACGTTATTAATTTTTTTTTTTTTATTACGTAATAATATAAATTACCGGTTATCATAAATGTTTGTTTGTTTGTTTGTTTTCGTAGCACTTTTTTTTTGGCGCATAAATAAATTATTAAATTTTTTTTTAAATAATTATTTATTTATTTGTTTCGTTTTTTAAAACCGAAAACAAATAAATAAATTATTAACTTATTATTTATGTATCGTATTAATTTAATAAATAAATAAATCACACATTTTTTAAATAAATAAATAAAAATACGGTGTTAGTGATGATATATTACGACGGATTAATGAAAATTTTATTATTATTATTATTATTATTACTTATATTTACATAATTTAATTTGACACGTGATCGAAAAGATATCCTATCGAATCGAATCGTGATCGAAAAAAAATTTATATACGCACGTATCGAAAAAAAAAAAAAGAAAACTTGAATCCGCGAAAGAGAAAGAGAGAGAGAGAAAATTTATATCGAAGACGATAACGCGATATATCGAATAACATATGAGAAACATATACAAAAAAAAAAACTCGAAAAATCTCGAAAAAAAGAAAAATTTTTCTCTTAATGAAATGTTTAAACTTCCGTTGAAAATCTCGAACTGGGTTCTTCCGAGTTTTGCAGGCTAAGAACTGAAAAAGCTCGCAGGGGCGAGGTCGCGCGAGACTGCCGGGAGAAATTGTGAGGCGCAGCGGCGCTTTCGGTCTGCGCCTGGGGGCGTGGTGGGGTTTCACCCTCATTCGACCCAGAAACAACCCTGACGTGCTCACTTCCGGTAAGAGACCTAAATCAGTGCATGCACACACGCACGTACGCACTCGCACGCACGTACTCTTCCCCTTCTCCCCCCGCAGTACTCTTCTTTCTTCACGCAATCAAAATACGTTCGTTTGTTTTGTTCGTTCGGTCTCTTATTATAATAATAACAATAATGATAATAATCCAACGGAAAAAAAAATAAAAATGCAATTTCACATTACTAAGAGAGGGGTAGGGGGAGTAAACAGAGGGAGGGAAGTTACGACGTTACATTTATCGACGTCATTATTGTATTTATTTATTTGTTTCCCTCCCCCCACGAAAATGCACTTGAAAAAAACAAGGTTGGAAAATGAACGCGCGTTCGTGCGGGATTTTCCTTTAAGTTTCCCGCGCTTTTTTAAAAATTTAAATTTAAATTTAAATTGAATAAAACTTTTTCCGTACCTGAAAATAAATAAAATTAATTAATAAAATAATTAACAATTACATTTTTATAATTACAATTTTTAAGTATAATTAGACATATAAAAAACGCCATAAGGTTTCGAAATGATGATGATGATAATGATGATGATGATGATAATAATACATTCGGAGTTTTAGTAAAAACTTTTCCTCTCTTTCTCTTTCTCTTTTTTTTGTAATTATAAAATTTTTATAATTATAATTATAGTAATGTCGCCATTTATTTGATAAATTTTTTAGTCAGTTTTATTATTACAAAAAAAAAAATGAAGAAGGAGGGAAGAGGAAGGGGACAGGAAGAGGACGAGATTCTGGAAAAAAAGGAATAAAAAAAAAAATTTTTTTTTTTTTATAAACTTTTTGTTTCATTTCTTCTTCTTTCTTTCTTTTTTTGTGTCTTCCTCATCTCTCTCTTCTTCGTTAAACTTTTCCAGATGGCTGTGAATTTTCTTTTTTTTCTTTTTTTTTTTTTTTTTTGCCTCGTTTCGATTTAGTATCCATGGATGAACATTCGGTATTTTTCATAATATTTTTTTTTTTTAACTTCTGCTCTTCCTTCCCCCTACCCTCCTCTAACGAAAGCAAAAAAAAGGGAAGGGAAGGGAGAGCAGGAAGGGGAAAAAGTTGTTTGATGAGTGGTGGTAAAAGGATTCGGTTGTTGGACGACCGAAATTTACCATCGTTATCGTCTGATATTTCTTCTTTTTCTTTTTCTTTCGTTTTTTTTTTTTTTGTAACCATAAAAGAACATCTGGAATTTAAAAAATTTAACAAAAGTTTGAAATTAATTATTATTATTATTATCATCATCATCATCATCATCATTTTTCCTGCTTTTTTTTTTTTATTTCGCTTTTCTTTCTTTTTTTCTTTTTTTTTTCGTGTGTGTGTATCGAAGTGAATGGTAAATTTTTATAACAAAAAAAATTTTATTGTGAAAAAATGAAAAAAAAAAATAATCGATCGATAATTATCGATCATCGATCGATTTTTTTTTTCAATCGGTTTGAATATTTTGTAGAAAAAACTAAAAAAAAAATTTTAATTTAATTAGAGAATATATTTATTTTACAATAATAAAAAAAAATTCACGGTTCGATAAATCGATTC